TGTATATGTATATGTATATGTATATGTATATGTATATGTATATGTATATATCTATATGTATATGTATATGTATATGTATATATATTTATGTATGTATATCATTCCATCTTCCGTTGGAGAGTATGTTGTCTGGGTACAAGCATCTTGTACAATCAATCAAAATTATAACATCCTTCTATACATATTAATTATTATTAAATACCCCTCACACATCATCACAAAATCTCCAGAACCGTAAAGCCTACAAACTTGAAATTTGGCCCATTGGTTCCTCTTGGCTTCTAGGGGCTCACTAAGAAAGGATTTTTCGAAATGCCCATCACAGCATTAGTATTTTCTATATTATTAACATGCTCTGATGCTAAGGAGTTCTACTCCCCCTCCCCACCTGGGAAGAAATCTCTTCCCAGTGCGCAAAACACAAGCAGTGGAGAGGAGTTTCAGCTTCAGTTTCACAACTTTGGTCCAGAACAGTTGAGCTAAGCCACACCCAGGCTCCTTGCTGTCTCCTTGCTCACACAGCAAATATGGTTTCAGTTTCCAAACAGCCCTCAGTTCTCTCAGACACTGACAGGACGCTAGCCAGATGAATACCAATGGATGCTGGTAGGCAGAGGCAGGATTTTCCCCCTGCCCTTATATTCCTCCCCCCAAAACTAAGCCCAACCACATCGTTTTGTAGTGAAGCATGGGTAGTATATGAATAGCTAAGTATGCATTTTCCTTAACGATATTCTTCAGGTAGACCCCTAATAGAAATATTTCTGGTTTGAAATCAAGATGTTGTTTTATCATTTTTTTTCCCAACCACGTCTGAATTTTGGTCGTCTCCATTCCGTTGAATTGCGTTTGCTTTTTTCCCCTTGCAGGCCGTTGAGTTTCTCTCCAAAGCCCTGGACAGCCCCGACATCAAAGCCGTAGATGAGGCCGTCATCCTCCTGCAGGAAATTGGTGAGTTTCTGGCGAAGAACGGCCTGGCTCTGGCGATTCTCATTTCCCCCCACTCTCACTCTGCTCAACGCCCAATTTCCCTTCCCAGGAGTGCTGGATTCCCGAGAGGCTCTGACCACGCTGGGCAAGCGCCTGGCCCAGATCTCCACTGATCCCCGGCTGGCCAAGGCCATCGTGCTGGCTTCCATCTACCGCTGCATCGAGCCCCTCCTGCTCATCGTCTCCTGCCTGACCCGCGACCCTTTCAGTAGCAGCCTGCAGAACCGAACAGAGGTGGACAAGGTGAGGGAGCCCACGCGGAGAGAGGGGAGGAGGAGGGGAGCTTTCTCCTAGAGTGAGGGGTGGGACTAGAGGACCTCCTGGGGCCCTTCCCACTCTGGGTTTCTCCCGCTCGGGCAGGAGGTTGGACTACATGACCTCCAAGGCCCCTTCCAACTCTGTGATTCTGTCAGGGTCTCCTGCTAGAGCAGGGGGCTGGACTAGAGGACCTCTGGGGTCCCTTCCAACTATTCTATGGTTCTCCTGCTTGAGCAGGGGGTTGGACTAGATGACCCCGAAGGTCCCTTCCAGCTCCATGATCCTCTCCTATTTTGTAACGGTTGCCCCTTAGGCCAAGGCTGTGCTGAGCCGGGAGAGTGGCAGCGATCACCTGGCCTTCGTGCGGGCTGTGGCGGGCTGGGAGGACATCCTGCGGCGCCGAGACAGCCGCGCTCGCGACGACTACCTGCAGGATTATTCGCTCTACGCCCCCAGTTTGCGCTTCATCAATGGTGAGCAGCTCACGCTCCCAAGCAACGCAACCGCCCTCCACCCGGCGTTCTCTTTTTCCCATTTTAGCGCTCACCACAGCCCTTCGATTAGGGGTGGTGAGCACGTGGTTAGAATCCGGCTTGCAGGGTTTAGGCTCTGGTCTACCCAACGTGAAGAGGTAACATCGGGCCAGCAGTTTGGTGAGTGGCATCCGGCTGGCCACGCCCACTCTGTCAGCCACACCCACCCAGTCGGCCATGCTGGCCCGATCCCCCCGAGGTCAATAATAGACCTGGTGCGGCCCTCAGTTGACACCCCTGCCTTAGATTTATATACTTCAGAGTCCTTTCCAAGACGTTTAGATAGCCGGTACATGTTGCACACACACACACATACACACCCAACTATCTGGGTCCTTGTTTTGTGCCCATGGAAGGACGCAAGGCTTGAGTCCACCTTAAAACAGTCAGGATCAAACTCCTGACAGTGAGCAGAGTGCATGCTAAGCACTACGATACCACGGCTCACCTTCCAGGGCAAGGATGGACGTGTGTGTGTGTGAATGGAAGGAAGGAAATGAATGAGGGGGAGAAGAAGGAAGGTAAAAAGGGAAGGGAGGAGATGGAGAGAAAGGAGATGGAAAGGAAGAAAGGAAAGGAGGGAGGGTGAGGGATGGATGGATGAAGGAAGAAGATGGATGGGGCAAGGAAGGAGATGAAGAGGGGAGGGGAGGAAGGAAGGAGATGGATGGAAGGAAGGAGATTGGGAGTTGGGAAGAAAGGAAAGAAGGAGGGAGGGAGTGGGAGGAAGGAGATGAGTTAGGAAAAAAGGAAAAGGAGGAAGGAAGGAGGTATGGGGGAAAGATGGATGGGTGGAAGGAGATGGGGAGCTGGGAAGAAAGGAAAGGAGGGAGGGAGGAGATGGTTGGCAGAAGAAATGAATTCATTCAAATGGCCCCCAAACAGTCGTAAGTCAAGAACGCCCCTGCACTTGGCCACCACGGTCGATTTACAATCGGCTCGCCAGGGCATTCTGGGAGTTGAAGAAGTCTTTTTAAGGTTGACCCAGTTTGGACTCCTGTGCTGGATGGACAGGTCTTTTAACTCCTCCGTGGTTTTTCTCCCTGCCCACCCGCAGGACTCGTGAAGCAGTTTTCTGAGAACCTCTACGAAGCTTACCTGGTGCCGACCCCGTCGGATTGCCTTTTGCCGTCGTCCGTCTGCAACCAGTACAGCGAGGAAGAGGAGCTGGTGAAAGGAGTCCTGATGGCCGGGCTGTACCCCAACCTCATCCAGGTAAGAGAGACACAAGAGGGAGGGAGGGGAGAGAGACCTATCAGACAGAGAGACCTTAGAGAGAGAGAGAACTGAGAGAGAGAGAGAAAACTGAGAGAGATCACAGAGAGAGAGAGAGACCTACCTGAGAGAAAGATCTATCTGAGAGAGAGGACGGGGGATTTTCTTGCAGACATTTCAGGACCCAACTAGGGAATAGCATCAGTGGTAGAAAGAAGGAAGAGGAGCGGGGAGGAGGACTGCGGGGTGTTTAGTGCTTTCTGAGCTTGGTTGTTTTCTTCCAGACATTTCATGACCCAAGTAGTGACATCGTCAATGCTAGAAGTGGGAGACGGAGGAGGAGGAAGGAAGAGGGAAGGAGGAGGACTGTTGGGGTCCTTGGTGTTCTCTCATCTTGGGGGTTTTCTGGCAGACATTTTATGACCCAACTAGGGAACATCATCCATGCTAGAGGGAGTGGGGTTTTCTCTTTGTGTATATGCAGTTGCTTGCCTTCGCAGTGTCGATGGACGCTTAGCTTTTTCCTTGGCAGTTCCTTGATCAGAGGATTGTTTTCTGCTTGATTGCTTGTCTGGTGTTAATTCCTGCTTCTCTGGGTTTCTCTTTTTGTGTGGTCCTTGGTGCTCCCTGAGCTTGGTTGTGTGTAGACGTCTCGTGACCCAACCAGGGGACATCATCAGTGCTGGAAGGATTTGGGGGCTGGGGGTGTTTGGTCTCTACTGATATACAGTTGCTTTCCCTGGCACTGTTAATGGGAAATTGGGTACTGTTGTCTGCTTGTTTGTTTGTCTGGTGTCAATCCCTGCATCTCTGGGTTTCTCTTTCTGTGGGGTCCTTGTTGCTCTCTCAGCTGGGTGGTTTTTTGTGACCCAATGGGGTGATACCCTTAGTGCTAGAAGGGAGGGGGTTTACGGAGTGTAGGAAGAGGAAGACAGAGATGAGGATTTGGGAGTCCTTGGTGCATTCTGAGCTTGGTGGTTTTCTTGCAGATGTTTCATGACCTAACTAGGTTACATCATCAGTACTAGAAGGATTGGGGGGTGGGGGTGGGTGTTTGTTCTTATTTTTCTCTCCTAGTGGCTTGCCCCATGAGTGGGCTCTTGTCTGTGGACGGTCCCTGTTGCTCTGTCACCTCTAAAGTCCACCCCAGTGGCTTTGGTTAATGGGAGCCTTCGTTCTCGCCAAATCTTGAGAAACAAGTCTTCCTCTTTTCCCTTGAGGTTCCTGCAGAGAACAGCCTTCAGTGTCCTATCTGAGGGGTCTTTCCGATGACTTGGAAGGACCCCTAAGAAATATCCCTTTTATTCCAGGTCCGGCAAGGGAAGGTGACCAGACAGGGCAAGTTCAAACCGAATAGCTACACGTACCGGACCAAGGCAGGGACTGTCCTCTTGCACAAATCAACCATCAATAGGTAGGCAAGTCGGTCCCTCCTGGGATGCCAAACGGTCCCTCCTGGGATGCCAATTGGTTGGCCGGATGGCCACAAGACACTCCTCTTCTTATCCCCTGCAGGGAGTCCTCCAAGCTGTACAGCCGTTGGCTGACCTACTTCATGGCAGTCAAATCCAATGGAGGTGTCTTTGTGCGAGATTCCTCTCAAGTGCATCCACTCGCTGTGCTGCTGATGACCGATACGGACGTCTATGTGAGGGGTGAGGAATCGGACTCTTGGCTCAGTTCCCTCGCTGTTGTCTACACCGGAAGGGGCCTGTCTCACATACACACATACACACACATACACACGCACGCACTCCGATAGCAGAGTCTCCCCGCCCCCTCAGTTGGGTTGTCCAGCCCACCCCAAAGAATGTTTTCATCCCTCCCTCTGGCTGAGCTTCCTGTGTCTTTCCCACTTACAGGTAGTCGTCGACTTACAAGTTCGTTTAGTGACCGAAGTTACAACGGTGCCAGAAAAATTGACTTATTTCACACTTACAGCCATTACCGCATCGCCATGATTGTGTGGTCAAAATTTGGATGCTTGGCAACGGACTCATATTTACGACGGTCGCAGCATTCCAGGGTCATTGTGACAAGCAGAGTCAACAGGGAAGCCCGATTCATTTAACAACCATGTGATCAAACTGAAGTGCAGGGATTTGCTTAATAACTGTGGTCATATAATGGAGCAAAATTCACTGAATATTCACTGACTTGTTTAGCGACAGAAATGTTGGGTTCCCTTGTGGTTGTAAGTCAAGGACTACTGTAAGTTTCCATATATTTGGTTATGACTTTGCAGAGGTTCACCAGCTGCACCTGTGTGTCAGAAACAGCTTTTCTTAAGCGACTTTTTGCCGCATTTTACGACTTTTCTCACCACAGTTGTTAAGTGAATCGCTGCAGTTGTTACATTAGTCACACAGTTCTTAAGTAAGTCTGGCTTTCCCATTGACCATTGTTTCCTATTCTGAGGTCTTTTGAACCCAAAGTGAATTTTGTCCCATTTTTATGACTTTCCTGGCCACGGTGGTTAAGTGAATCACGGCAAATTTTCAGTTAGTTACAGCATCAGCAAGTGAATCCAGCTTCCCCATTGATGATGCTGGTCAAAAGGCTGCCAAAAGGGATCACGCGACTCCAGGGACATTGCAACTGTCATAAATATGAGTGCGTTGCCAGATGTCAGAATTTGGATCACGTCCCCACAAAGATGTTGCAACGGTCATAAGTGCCCGAATCAGCCATCAGTCACTTCTTCAGTGTCGTCACTTGCAACGGTCAGTAGTTGAATTGTTGTAAGTCGAGGACTACCCTGTTTCCCCGAAAATACGACCTACCTTGAAAGTAAGTCCTAGCTTGATTTTTACACCTGTGCCCAATATAAGCCCTACCCCCCAAAAAAATAAGCCCTAATTAAGATCCCGCCCACGTCAGAGTGCATGGGTAAAAATTAAGCTAGAGTGGGGATGGGGGAGGTGGAACTGCCCTACTACTTACCTTTGGACAGGCCTTGCACACCCTGACACCTGCCTTGCCGGCCCATTTCTTCGGCAGCCGGCAAGGCTGGCAAGGCTTTCCTGAAGGCCTCTGGAGCTGATAACAAAGCTCCAGATCAACCCAGAACTCTGTTATCAGCTACAGAGGCCTTCAGGAAAGCCTTTCCGGCCGCAGAAGAAGGACTTCCGGAAGGAGGCCGGGGTGCTACGCGCAATTGAGGTTAGTCAGTGGATGACATCCCCTGAAAATAAGACCTGGTGCGTTTTTTGGTAGCAAAAAAATAACACAGGGTCTTATTTTCGGGGAAACGGTATATGAAGAATTCTCGTCCTTAAAGTACCATCTCTTTATCTGTCTTTCTTTTCCCCCAGACGACGGCTGGCGCGCCACTATCTCCCTGGTGGACAGCGACCTGCTGGTCCTGGAAGGCGACTCGTACACCATACGGCTTCTCCGTGACTTCCGGGTGGCCCTCTCCCGGATGGTGGAAACCTGCCTCTGCTACGAGATGGCGGCCATTCCTGGCGACCTCCACCACCAACACAGCCAGCTCCTGGATATTCTGGTGGATCTTCTAAAAGGCCCTTCCGCCAACTTCGGTGCCTAGGATCTGAACCAGAGGACTTGTAATTTGTACAAAGATGTTGAGATATGTTTATTTAAATAAAGTTCTATTTATCCCTTGTGACACTTCTCGCTTCCCAGAGCCGGCTCAACTGTGGTTGGCGTCACCCCACCACTGTGGGTGAGGCAGCACCTATTTCTTCCAACGAGCCATCGGAGAAGAATGCCAGTCGCACGCCTGAAGACAATGTGGGCGTGCCCTGGCCTACCGGGTTCACATGCGAGGATGGATTTTGTCCACTCCATCGAGAATGGGGGCAGCTGGCGGTCTGGTCCACTCCAGGAGCTCAAGATGACAACGCGAGATGAGCTGATTCAAGAACAATGGATAGGGTTAGGCAGTGTTTGGAAGACTTTGTGCTCCCTGAATCGCTGCTTGTCCGGGCGAGGAGACCCCGCGCTCTTGCCCGTATTGTCCAAGCAGGAAAACTCCGTACACGGGAGTCCTAACTAGGTTTCTGGAACTGGTAATGTTTCCTGTTGAGTAGGATCAGTTCGATGGACTAACAGCCCCTGTCCCCCAAAATAGGGATGAGTCTACCTAGTGTTCTCGCCAGCCCATTTACCTATCCACTTGCATGTGAGTTCTCAGCTTCCATTTGGCAAGCCTGCCAGGAGTAAGACCCGGGGTGAATGCCCACCTGTATCTTGCCGTATGGGAATAGCGTCTGTGCTCTGTGTTGTAGATGCATGACATCAGAAACATGGCTGTGGATTGAAGGAGTACCTCAATGGCTTCTTGGGAGGGTCCCCTTAATGAGGGAAGGGAGGCTTCTCTGGTGAAAGCTGATATGGTGGTGTCTACAGGAGCAAATGGGACAGCTAGTCTCGTTCCAGAAGAGAGAACGAGGCTATTTCTGACACCTGACGAGGGGTCAAATTTAACCTCTCATCAGCCTACAGCAGGGATGTCAAACTCAGTTTCATTGAGGGCTGCATCAGGGTTGTGTTTGACTTTGGGGGGGATTTGACCAGGAAACATGGCCACCTCCACATCACAGACTCTTTTCAGCTGCGACGGCCTCTTGCAGCTCTTTGCCAGCAAAAAAGGGCAGATGGTTGCAGGAGTCCACCGTGGCCCAAAATTGAGCCCAGACTGGCTGTGCAGAGCCTTTCTAAACTTTCTGCTGACAGAGGACTTCAGGAGGCCCTCGTGGCCCAAAACGGAGGACGGCACTGTGGGCCACTTCGCTGTTTCCAGGGTGGCTCCGTAGGCCGGATCTAAGCACCCCGTGGTCTATAGAAACAGCCTCGTTCTCTTGTCCGGAATGAACCTAACTGCTCCATTCGCTCCTGTAGATACCACCATCCCAGCTTTTAACACCTAACCATGATTTCCATGCAAGTTGGAAACGGCGTTGCCCACGCCAGGCGGGGAGGGGGGAAGTGTGAGCTGCAGGCCGTGTTGTGACACATCCGTCCCTCCTCAAACAGGGCGCCCGCCAAATTTTGGACGGGAATCGGCAACCTGTTCGAGAGTGCGCAAGTTGGCCGCTTCCACCAGGGCTTCCTTGAGCGTCCCAAGAGCTGCTGGCAATGTCCTCGAAACGTACTTGTGACTCTCGATGCGCAGATAGGCCAGTGGTTGTTACTTCTCCTGCAACCTTTTTACAACTTAGATGAAAGCTAATAAATGGGGATAAAATCACTATTTTATGGCTCTTGTGTTGGGTGTGTTTGTGTTGTGTGGTGTTTTTTTCCCCCCAACAAACAAGAAATCCCATCCTCTTGACCCCCCCCCCCAAAAGAGATGGGGTGGAGAAAAAGGCAAAGTGTGAGGTTTTAGGAGTTTTCCTGAGAAACAGCTTGCAGAGGTCGTCCTCATTTTAAACTATTACGATTTATGACCGCAATGGAGACCCGAATTTCCAAGTTCGATTTCAAGCTGGTTTTATCACCATTTTAACCACCCTTTCTATTCTGGACGGTAAGCGAATCACCACAGTCATGAAGCCGATCGTGTCATTAACCAAAGCAGTGTGGACATTTTTCTGCCAAGAAACCACGCAAATGGTCACAACATAAATGCCAAAAATCCACACAAAACATCACAACATAAAATGCCCAAACTCCAAGCAAATTTTAATTTCCGTGAAATTCGCATTTTCATTCCCAGAACTATTCAGAGACTTTCTTAACTCGATCCAGGCTCGATCGGCAAAAGAAATCAACATTTATTATGGAATTTGATTTGTACCAGCAAAATAAATGTCATGATTATATTCACCCTGCCGTTATGATAGACAGCCCTCAACGGCCACGATGGAGCCCAAGATGGCTGTCGTTAAACGAGACAGGTGGGAAGCAAGTTATCATGTTTTACCAGCAAAAGAAATGTCCTTTATTATATTCACCCTGTCGTTATGACATACGATCCTTGACTTAATGGCCATGCTTGAGCCCAAACTGGCTGTCATTAAGTGAGACAGGCAAGAAGGGAGTTGTTCTCCCCCTTTTTACGACCTTCCTTGCCACAGTCGTTAAGTGAATCGTGGCATGGGTCAAGGAGAAGTGAATCCAGCTTCTGCATTGACTGTCAGACCTGTGGGATGGCTATGAGCGTTGTAAGAACGAGTCGATTTGCCAAAAGTCTGAAATTTGGATCAAGGGACCACAGGGAGAAAGCGATGGTCGTAAGTGTGAAAAAAGGGTGGCTTCCTTCAGGGCCTTGCTTAGAATGGTGATTTCAGGAACGGACGTAAGTTAGACATTATCTGTGTAATGGGCAACCCGGAAGAGCGGGAATTTTGAATTTGGGAAAAATGGATTTCTTTCGACAAAAATGTCACCAGCACATTGAAGCGAAGGGCGAAATTAACATAGTGGGACTAGCGAAAGTGGGCTAGTCTCGTTTAACGTCCTGGTTCGTCTGATTATGGCAGTGTTCCTCTGGCAACTTCAAGAAGAGTGGACTCCAATTCCCATAATCCCCTAGACCAGCTGGCATGCTTTAAGAGGGAAGGACTTCCAGAATCCCCCAGCCTTCAGGGTTTAAGAGGGGAGGACTCCAATTCCCAGAATCCCCCAACCAGGAAGCTTTAATAGGGGAGGATTCAAGTCCCTGTAGCTTGCGTGGAAAAAGTCCCCTCTCTCCGAACTACATTTCCCAGGATGCTTTGCTTCCTTGGAAAGGGAGGAGATTTCATCCCGGGAGCAAAGCCCGGGCAGCGGGAAAGTGCGCATGCTCTGGGGTGGGGGGCGGAGCCTTCTCTTTTTCTTTTTCTTCTTTTTCTTGTTCCTTCTCCTCCTCTTTTTCTCCTTCCTCCTCCTTTTTCTTCTTCTTCTTCTTCTTCCTCTTCTATCCCGGGCCGAGATGACTAAGCACTTGGCATCTACACCGGTAGGACCTCCTGGCAAGGGTGCCTCTGAGCATGTGCAAAGGGACCAACCGCCTGCATTCCCAGGGCTACAAGAGCGGCCCCCTCCTCCAGCTTCCCAGCAGTAGCCCTCCATGGTGGAAGGGTCCTTGGCGGGAGGAAGGGGGGGCTGCCATACAAGGGAAGAGGAGGGGGTCGCTAGGAGGTCTCCCCCACAGGTGGGGGGGTCTTTGGGGGTCTCACCTCTGAGACTGTTGAGGAGCTTCCACTTTGCAAACACCTCTAATTCTTGGGGGCGGGGGGGGGGGGGGGTGGACGTGGGAAGAAAGGAATGGGGGAGGGGTTTGGGGGGCACAAGATTAGGGAGAGAGCCCCCTAGCCAAGCAGAGAGGGGAGGGGTCTCCCCTCCAATTTAGGGGAGTGGGAGATCCTATTGAAGGGCTAAGGCGCTCGGTCTGCGTGTTGGGGGGGGGCGGGGGGTTCAATTCACAGTTTCCTTTTTCCAGTTTATTGGGAGAAATGGCCCCTTCCCCGTTGAGAGAGGGTGGGATTCGAACTCACCACTCTCTCCCAAAGAAAAAAAGGGAGGGGTCTTTAGCATGGGAAATGGATGGCGGGATGAAAGAGGGATAAAGGCTTTTGGGGAGGGGTGGGGCCAGAGCAAGTGCCCTCCCCGAATCTTCCCATTTTTGGGGGGGGGGGATCTGAAATCTCGAAGCCACCGTCACCCCCGTTGGGGTTTTCGCTTACCCGATCGTACTCGGTGTGCGAGCACAATGGAGCCTCAAAAGTTATGTCGCTAAGTGAGACCTTTCTGAAGTGACACTCGGCCCATTTGATGGCTTTTATCCGGCCCCCGTTTGGGAAGTGAGAGGCTGCCCTAGTTAACATTAGTTACCCGGTCGTTAAGTGAATCCGGCTTCCCTGTTGATGCGTCAGAAAGTTGTAAAAAGAGGATCCCGGGATCCCCAGACCCTACGGCCATCATAAAGTCGGTTGTCAATCGTCCAAACTTAAATCAAGTGACTGCAGAGATGTGGCGACGGTCGTAAATGTGAAAAACAGTCCTAAGTTACTTTTTTCTGTGCCATCGTAACTACAAACCATCACTAAGCAGATTGTTGTAAAGTGGGGACTCCTTAGAGGAATGTGCAAAAATTCAACAGGGAAGTCCTCACAAGGGTTCATTTAGCGACCATATGATGTTTCGAGGCACTGAGAAAAAGAGACTTGCAAGCAAGTGGTCCTCGCACTCACGACCGTTGCAGCATTACCCGTAGTCACATGATCACAATACCCGCTGGTACATCTTGTCCTCAACTAATGACTGTTCATTTAATGACCATTCAAAGTACCGACGGCACTGAAAAAAAAGTTTGCTACTGTTTTTCACGCTTAGCAACCATCGCACATTTCCACAGTCGGTCAAAATTTGGACTCTTATCAACTGATTCATATTTATGAGAGTTCACTTAGTGACCGTTCAAAGTTACAACGATGCTGGACAAAGGGATTGATGACCGATTTTCACACTTACGATGGTTCCACCTTTTTACGGTTAATGTGATCCAAATTCAGAAGTGCGTCGACTGATTCATACTTATGACGGTCACGGTGTCCCGGGGACACGTGATCCTCTTTTGCGGCCTTCTGTCCAGCAACGTCAATGGGGAAGCCAGATGTACTTAGTCACCTTTTGACTCACTTAACGAATGCAATGATTCACTTAACAACCGTGAAAAGAAAAGTAAGTTGTAAAATGAGTCATACTCACTTTGCAACATAAATTTGGGGCTCAATTGTGGTCGTAAACCAAGGACCCCCTGTATTTCCATTTGCAGTATCCCGGGTTTCATGATCCCCACTTATGACCTCACAAGCCGGATTTTGACAAACACATTGAATGTGGGAAGGCAGATTTGTTTAATGACCGTATGATTCTCTTAACGACTCTAGTAATTTGTTTAACAACCAAAGGAAAATGGGGACAAATCAGGCCCGACTCACTTAGCAGCTGCCTTACTTAACAGTGGCGATTTTTGGTTCGAATTGCAGTTATAAATCGAGGACTACCTGAGATGGAGAAATGAAAGAATTTCATTGGATGGGGGACACCTTTCGTTTCCTGGGTGATGTATAAGATGTCTGGACTTCAACTCCCAGAATTCCCCCAACTGGCCATTTTGGCTGCAGAATTCTGGAAGTTGAAATCCAGACATTGTATATTGGTTAAGGTCGAGAAACATTGATCTATACAGGTAGTCCTTGAGTTATGACTGCAATTAAGACCAATGTGTTGCTAAGCGAGGCAGTGAAGTGGGTCTTTTGCCCCATTTTGCGACTGCTGGTATGTGAATCGCCTCAAGTGTTAGCAATACGCTTGTGACATGAATCTGGTTTCCCCATTGACGTTGCTTGTCGGACGGTCGCAAAACAGGAGCATGTCACCCTGGGACACAACGGCCATCGTAAAGGTGAGTCCGTTGCTGAGCGTCTGAATTTCATCACTTGGGAATGCTACCACGGTCTTTAAGTTTGAAAAAACGGTCTGAACGCCATTTTCCCCCGCACCATTGTAACTTTGAATGGTTGCTAAATGAACCGTTGTAAGTCGAGGGTGACGTGTAATAATCATAATAAATCAATTTCCCCAAATTTGGAAGAAACTCAACCAAGTTTGGACTGACGGTGTTGCCTCCTTTCCGTGTCTCCATGCATCCACCAATCTTTTCTGCGCTGCGGACGCAGTGCGCCACCGTGATTTGAAATTGTATGCCATTCGGTTGCAACGCCAATCCAGCCGCTCACCAAGTCCCTTCGGTTGTGTCATTCTGAGGTGTTAGTGTTCTTGAAAGTAGGGGGGGGGGGGATCTGGGGTGCGGACCAGCTTTGTGCGACACGAACATCTTGTTCGAAGGCAGACATTTTACTGCGCTGCATCCTGTCGCTTCTTCCGTAGGTGACTTTTGAAGACGTCGTTGTGTACTTTACGGCCGCCGAGTGGGCGCCACTTACCAACTGGCAGCGGGACTTTTACCAAGCTGTGATGGTGGAAACTTATGAGTTGGTGGTGTCGCTGGGTAAGGATTACTACACACACAGTCTAAAATTTGTGTTCCGGGTTGTTGTCGATGTACAACCGCAATAAAGCCCAACATTTCGGTTGTTACGCATTCCAATTCATTTGCGAAGTGAGTTTTGTTCCATTTTACGACATCTTTTCCCCGTTATTAAGTGAATCCCTGTCACTCTTAAGTTACTCAGACTGCCTTGCTTAGCAACAGGAATTCTGCTTCGAATTGGGGTCGTAAAGCGAGGAGGACCTGTACACAGAGAAATGGAAGGACACCGCTGATCTATGATCTTATGACCGCAATTGAGCCCAATGTTTCTGTTGCTAAGTGAGACATTTGTGATGTGAATTTGGTTTGCCCCATTTTATGACCTTTCTTGCCACCGTTGTTAAGTGAATCCCTGCAGCGGTAAAATTAAGTCACAAGCTTGTTAAGCAAATCTGGCTTCCCCATTGACTTTTCTGGTTAGAAGGCCGCAAAAGGAGATCATGTGACCCCAGGACACCGTAACAGTCATAAATATGAATCAGTGGCCAAGTGGCTGCATTTTAACCACGTGACCATGGGGATGCTGCAACAGTCATAAATGCAAAAAACGGTCGTAAGTCCCTTCTTCCAGTGCCATTGAACTTTGAGTGGTCGTTAAATGAAATGTTGTAAGTCAAGGGCAACCTACAGGTGTTGTTGTAGGTCTTGGTGAACTCTAGCGTGTCACCCAAAATGTCATGGGATGTCACTGTCGACACACCTGTCACGTTCGCCGTCATTGGATTAAGGATTTCAGGCTGATCAACAACCACTGAGACCCGCGGCCACTGAGATCCACACACCCCCAAATCACATGCTTCTAAAATAGTTGAGGGGTGGTCTCAGGTGGGATCTTCTGTTATTGGAGGGGCCTCCTGATCTCGGGTTCGAGTGCTTGTCTGTTTCCCTGTCCTTTTTCTTCTTCATTGTCCGACAGGACCCAAAAGTTCGGAGTATCCCGGGCTTTTGGGAATCGCAGTGCTGACTTGATGGTGAGTTTGTCTCTTCTCCTGTCCTCCCAGCAGGCGATGGGGTCCCAATGGCCGAAGGTGAGGAGGGAGGAGAGGAGAGGCCGGTTTGGCAGTACATACCCCAGGGAAAAAGGAGGCGAAAGACCCCGCAGCCGCGAGCAGACACGGCAGTGAGGCAGAGTAAATCTGCAGCGTCCAAGGTGAACACTGGTTGTCTCCCACGGATGATGCCGAAGATGAATCCACCAGAGTGTCCTGAGTGTGATAAGACTTTCCTCACAAATGTGGCCCTGACCATCCACATCCGGACGCATACCGGGGAGCGTCCGTTCGAGTGTCACCTCTGCTCTAAGGCCTTCCCTGCCCAGAGTGACCTCAGGCGTCACCTCAAAACCCAATCCACGCAGGAAGGATCCTCCCAACACGGGTACCCTCCCTCAGGCCACGGAATTTCTTGCTGCCAAGCTCCGGCTGCTGCGCCAACTAGGGGTCTCCTCGGGCCCAGTGAAGCCGCACGGCTGTGTGCAGTGCGGGAAGAGCTTCAACTGGCTGCAGGACTTGCAGAAACACCGAGCGACACACTCGACGGAACCGCCATTTGCCTGCCCAGTTTGTGGGCGCGGCTTCCAGCTCAAACAAGTCCTAGTGCCCCACCTGAAGGGCCATGATGGGGAACGGCCTTTTTCCTGCACGGAATGTGGGAAATGTTTCGGCAAAAGCACCACATGAAGATTCACTGGCGGGTGCACACAGGTGAGAAGCCCTTTGCGTGCACCGCCTGTGGCAAGCGGTACACCCATAAGCAGCCGCTGATCAACCACCTGCGGGTGCACACGGGCGAGCAGCCATACGGCTGCCACGAATGTGGGAAGACATTCCGTAATCAGACCGCGCTGACCATCCACCACCGGATACACACAGGTGAACGCCCCTACCGCTGCCTGCTGTGTGGGAAGACATGCAGCCAGTTGCAGCACCTCAAGAGCCACCAGCGAGTACACTGCAGCGAGCAGCACCTGTTTGTGGAGAGCAACAGCGAAGCTCTGGCCCTCAGGGAGGCGCGTGAGATGTAGGAGAAGCCATATCGGTGCCCCGAATGCGAGAAACGCTTCCGGGACAAAAACATCATGCAGGCTCACCTCCAGACCCATGGGAAGAGCGAGGGTCTCTGGTTCGGTGGGCCAAGTCCATCGCTTCCCGTCCAGCCGAAAAAGTCTCCACTGGACTCCGAGCCTGTTGACAAAGCGGCAGGAGCGAACCAGGATGCCTCTGCCCTTGTCCCAAGGAGACCCTTTGCATGCCCCAACTGTAGCAGGACATTTACGCAGGCCAAGTATCTCGCCTTCCATCAGAGGAGCCACCAACGAGGGCGGCGCTTCCGCACGGAATGAGGCGTGAGTTCGAAAGCACAGAAAGGACCTTTTGGCGGCCACCACTTCTGCTATGGGTGGGACGAAGAGCAGACTTGCATTGGGGCAGGGGGCAGCGGGAAGGGCCTTGAGGCCAAGAACTTTCACACAGTTTGAAGAGCTGGATAGCAGAAGTGCGTTTCTCATTCAGAGGACGCGGCGAAGAAGAATTTTTTCTTCAGACTGAGTTCAGACCCAAACTTTCCTGTGTTGTGACACGACAGGGGGAGCGGAGAGGGTATGTTCCTGTACAAGTGGTGAGCAAGTGTACGTGCGTAGCTCCATTTGCGTATGAGTGGTGGGTGCACACGCCACTCGCACGAGGGTGTGTGCATGCCTTCAGCTGTTGCTCTTGCCCGCCACTTCCATGGCCTGATTGTGAACAGCTCAAAGCCCATTGGTGGACTGCAGCCCTGGGAGTTTTGCATGTGTCTTAACCTGGTTTATGTCCAGCATCTGATGTCCCCTACGCAGAGTGAGGAGCTGTAGGATGTAAAACCCAGGTTTTGTCCCGAATCACAACCGTTAACCAAGTCTGTCAAGAGTCGGGAGATAATCAGGGTACTCCTGAGCCCATCGCCGCTGCTCTGGTTCCTGGGTCCCATTGCCATCGGGAGGGGAGCCTGATCGTGAAAGGGCCACCAAGACTGGGAATGCTAGACAGTCCACCTCTCTCACGATTTGTCCCCTTCAAGAAGCCCCTGTCGACTCCGAAGCTGTGTGGAATTTCGACTTCCAGAATTCCCCAGCTGGTACGTCTTAAAGGAGCGACAGTGGAGAAACAAGGCATTGAACCGTCTTCAGTCAACAGCCGTCAGCAGATTCCAAAGCGTCACTGCAGCATCGGATAGAGTGGGGTGGTGGCCTAGTGGTGGAGCCCTCGCCTCACAATCAGGAGGCTGTGAGTTTGATCCTAGGCAGAGGCTGATATTTCTCTCTCTGGTCACAATGAGAATGTATCTGCTAAAAAAACCTCTGCATTGGCGACAGGAAGGGCATCTAGCCAGTAAACATGCAGCTCCATTCAATTGCCCCGACTCCACTTAGATGCAAGGGTTTACGGGGTCATTAAACGATGAACAACAAGCACTGGTGCTGGTAGATAAACAGCAATGGAGTCCTGCACCAGGGATGGACTACATGACCTCTGGGTTCCTTCCAGCTCTTAGGTTCCACGTGAAGATTTTGGGGCCAGGTGTGAATAAGGACAGAATTTCCCATTAAAATCCATTTTTCGGGAACTCGCAATGTTCTACCAGCTGCTCTTTTGCTGGGAAAAAGATTTATTTGATTTGGGAATGATTTAATGAATATTCCTTGTTTGTTTGCATATATGAATAATAGTCGGGGTTTTGTAAGTGTTTATTACCCACAGTGCTCTGGAACAGTGTTTCTTAATATTGGTAACTTTTAGGATGGGTGGACTTCAACTCCCAGAATTCCCTAGACACCCGTGGTGACTAAGGAATTCTGGGAACTGAAGTCCACCTGCCTTCAAAGTTTCCAAAGTTGAGAGCTATTGTCTAGCAAGTTGTTGAGTTGGTGTTGTTAAACCGTTCGCAAACACCATTATGACCCACAAAAAAGCACATTGCAAGTCTGTTTGGATTTTTAAAAAGGAAAAAAGTTAAGAATTGGGAGACAATAAATTTTTGTTCACTTCTGTTCAGAACTAATGTTTTTTTGCCAATTTGCCTTGAATTAAAAAAACAAAACAAAACAAAACCAGCTGGTCACTAATTGAACATTATAACGCAGTTAATCCTTGACATAACGACTACAATGGAGCCGCAAATTTCTCCCGCTCTGAGATGGTTGCCAAAAAAGGTTTGTCCCATTTGATGGACTTCCTTGCCACCGTTGTTAAATGAATCACCACATTTGTTAAGTAAGTCAGACAGTTGTGTATATCATGTTTCCCCAAAAATAAGACCCTGTCTTTATTTTTTTTGCCCCCGCCCCCCAAAAGGCACCAGTTCTTATTTTCGGGGGATGTCATCCACTGACCACCTTCACTTGCGTGTGTCGCCCTCAGGCTTCTTCCGGAAGTCCTTTTTCTCTAGGCGGCAAGGCTTTCCCGATAACTGAGCTCCGGATCGATCCAAAGCTTTGTTATCAGCTACTACAGAGGCCTTCAGGAAAACCTTGCCAGCCTTGCTGGCTGCAGAAGAAATGGGCCGGCCAGGCAGGAGTCGGGGTGTGCGAGGCCTGGCTACACCTGTCCAAAGGTAAGTAGTAGGGCAGCTCCACCCACCCCCGTTTAATCAGGGGCGGGTCATAATTAGGGCTTATTTTTCAGGGGGAGGTCTTACATTGGGCGCCCATGTAAAAAAAATCAAGCTAGGACTTACTTTCAAGGTAGGTGATATTTTCGGGGAAACGGTAGATATACAGATAATGGAAGGATGTAGATAGGTGATGAGAGGATGGCTAGATAGAGGGAAGGAGGGGAGGGAATTATTGGATGGATGGCTAGATAGGTAATAGAGAAATGGATGGAGGAACGGATGGAGGGAGGGATGGATGGATGATGGAATGGATAGAAAACAGATATAAATACAATAGGTGCGTATATATGTATGAGGGTGGATGGTTGGATGGATTAATTATATATAGATTTATATAGAAGAGATAAACGGTTGATGGGGAGAGAGGTAAGAGATGATAAGATAGGTAGAGACAGAGAAAAAGGCACACAAAGGGATGGAAGGGATGAATAGGGGGAATGGATGGATGGATCAACAGGTAGGTAGGTAGGTAGGTAGATGATGGATGGGTGGATAGATAAGAGATTGAGAGAAATAAGACAAAGACAAGGGAGAGATGGAAGGAGGGATGAATAGGGGGAATGGATGGATGGATCAACAAGGAGGTAGGTAGATGATGGATAGATGATAGATGGGGGAGAAATTTAGAGAAGACAAAAATAGACAGATGGAAGAAGGGATAAATCGAATGGATGGATCAACAGTAGGGAGAGTGATGAATAGAGAAACAGGTGATAGGTAGGTAGGTAGACGGACGTGGTGGCTCAGTGGCTAAGATGCTGAGCTTGTCAACCAGAAAGGTTGGCAGTTCGAATCCCTAGCGCCACGTAACAGTGAGCTCCCATTCCTTGCCCCAGTTTCTGCCCGCTTAGCAGTTTGAAAGCCTGTAAAAATGCAAGTAGAAAAATAGGGACCGCTTTGGTGGAAAAGGAACAACATTCTGTGCACCTTCCGCATTTGATCATGCTGGCCACATGACCACGGAGACATCTTTGGACAGCGCTGGCTCTTCAGCTTTGTGACGGAGATGAGCACCACCCCCTAGAGACGGAAATGGCTAGCACGCATGTGTGAGAGTAACCTTTACCTTTAGGTAGGTAGATAGGTATAGATAGACAGAGACAGAGAAAGATGGAAGGAAGGATGAATTAGATGGATAGAGATGAATAGAGACACAGAGAGGTAAGACAAACACACGAAGGAGAAATGTATTGGGTGGATGGATGGATAGTAGATTAATTAGAGAGATCATAGATGGATAGATAGGTAAAATTGTCAGAATTCCAGTGATCACACTAATTTGTGTTGTGGCTGTGAGGCTGTGAAGAGAGCAAAACAACCCAGAGTGTGGCAACGAAGCTGTGCAATTATTAATATGAGGCAGAATGGGGCTGCCCTTGTGTCTTTGCGTGCAAACAACACACCGATGTACATATACACCCACTACGGAAACCAGCCTTTGAACACTTTATTGGCATCCGGTCCAGAAGATCATTTCCATCCGTGAAGTCAAAGTCCTTCAGACACCCAGACTGAGCGGGATCAGGGGCTCTAAGCATCTACACCGCTCCCTCTTGTTTTCCAAAAGCAGGCGGATTCTGAGAATCTCCAAAGCTTTTCTCTCTCGGAGCCACTGCTGTCATGATGTAGCGCCTGGGTTTCATCCAGCAGTCTTCTCCGAGGAGACCTCTTTCACGGGGTGATGCGGGTCCACTGCTGGTGGCCAAGCCGGGCTTGAGATGAAACACTACCCCGAGGTCGAGATCTCACAGAAGCTCCCCAGAAAAGATGGGTCAGCGTCGGCTGTAGCTGTCCGGGCACTACGTGACCTCCATCGCCCGATTTGCTGTGCCTGATCACCGCGTCCTTCAGGACATCAGAAGACCTTCTGTTCAGGGCCTTGTAACCCCTCCCCTAACATCCCCTTTCCCCAACCTTTAAGCCTTAAGTTCCCCCCAACATCGTTGATCAGGGCTACATCTCCCGTACAGGCCAACATACGGTGTTCTGTACGAGTCATGAAGAGGCCCTGAGCCCCTCATATGAAGAATGCAGAGGCTGTCCTTTGCATCCATCGTGGGGGAATGACTCCCATCATGTGCATGTGGGGGTGTGGCATGGTTTGGTCCCTCCCCCAGGAACCCCCAGGCCTTTCTGTTATCCACACATTTCTCCATTTACAAACCTGCTGTTAACCACTATCAGTGAGGGGCTGAACCATGGTCTAGAAACCACAATCTAGTATACTGAACAAACTCGCCCTTGGTGGATAAGCAGATGCCAGGATGGGTCAAATGGAAGACCCCTGTTGTCCACCACCCCCTCCCCAGATTCTATGTGAGAAGGTGGTGGTCAGTTATGTCCAGAAATTGGTTATTTTCTGCATGCTACTAACTCCAGAGGAAAACGGCAAGATCTCGCTTGATACTACATGCCAAAAAACTACTTTGGAGACTCTACTGGGTGTCCAGAAATCCAAAAAGAGCACGGCTTGATGGATTTCTGGACACCCATTTCAGGATCTGGAGTGCTCCGTCCGTTCAAGGTGTACGTTGGGCCTCAGTCTTGACAGGGTTTGGCTCTGGCTAATTGCATGTCGGACAGAGCCAGGGCGTGGATTGTGTCCTCCAGCTGGTAGAACGTCTGGAAGATGTTGGGCGACACCGCGTGGCACTCCAGGTAGCGCCGCAGCGTCGCCAAGCTTTCCACAACATCGGTCTTGGAGGGACAGGAGAAGAGAGACGGTTCCTCCTTTTCCTCCTCCTCTTCTGCTCTTGCCAAGATGGGTTCTTGGGATGGAGGGACCTCCTTCATCGCATCCACACCCTCATGGTCTCCAAAACACTCCAACCCTTCATCCATCAACACAAACTGCTCAAACTGGTCTTGATCCTTGCAGCCCAATGCTCGCACTACTTCCAACGAAGGGGTCATCAGGCGGGGATTGACACTGAAGCCAGCCGCTTTGAAAGAGTTTGCTATGGTTTGAGGGCACACTTCTGACCACGCTTGGACCACCAGGTGGACGGCATCCAGCAGGGTGAGGAACCGGGAGAGTTTGCTGGTGGGGCTGGCGACTTGGCTGTGGTCCTTGACCAAGAGATGGGTCAGCATCCGTCTCCGATAGTGGCACTTAAAATTCTGGATAACCCCTTGCTCCAGAGGAGGCAGCCAGGCAAGGTGAGGTGGCATGAAGACCATCTGGACATTGGAGAGCTCGGTGTAGGGGTGGACGCTGCACTGTGTGACAAAGAGTGCCACCCGCCTCTCCTGCTCCTTCATCTCCTCGTTGAACTTCTGAAGCCACTCGGAAAAGATGGCCGGGGTCATCCAGGCCCGGCGGTTTGTCTTGTAGGTCGCGGATGACAATCCACGGAGCGCCCCAAATGGCCGCACCGCCTTGCCCACGATCAACACATCCTTTTTCTCCGAGCCATCCATGTTGGCACAGAGCAAGACGGTCAGCTGGTCGTTGGCTTCGCCACCACCTCTCTGGGTCGCCAGGTCATCGGGGGTCGCTCGAAAGAGCATGCCCGTCTCACCACATGCATAGACATTGGGAAGGTCGTAGTGTCCGAGGATACAGGGCAGCGTCGTACTTTCCCAGCGATTCTCATCTTCGTCATCCTCTTCCTCCAACACTTCCCGGCTCCACTTCTCCGGGAGGGACCTCCTGGGACCTGTTTTCGACTTGGCCACCAGGGAGCTGTTTGGCCACTGGAGAGCAGTCTCCATGCCTGGTTCCCCGCTTCCGAGGGTGACTTTCTCAGCTGGGAATGGGTGTCCGCAGCTGCGTTCGAACCACTGCAAGAATGCTCGGTCACCGCCAGCCGGCCCTTTGTCTTCTAGTTTGCGTTTGCGACCCGGGTTGGCGTTTTTCCCCCACTCGGTCAGGATCCGTTCTTTGTTCTTGATGATGCGGCAAATTTGGGGCTGGGATACCCCGAAGCGCTTGGCCAGTTCACTCTGCGAGACCTTGGGCCCTTCGAGCATCTCCAGCACGCGGACTTTCTCCTGCAGCGACAGCTCCTTGCGCTCCTTGCGTTGAACCCCGGCTTCGCCGGGCAAGGGTGGCCCTTTTCTCCGGCTCCCCGAAGGGCTGAAGGGGTGTCCGGCGGCACAGGCACCCTGCCCGGACAGCGCCATGTGCTCCATGAAGCTCCGCCCGCAGTCGCCGCAGATGTAGGAATTCTGCCCGGTGTGCTTGGACTGGTGCACTTCCAGCTCGGACTTCAAGCCGAAGCTTTTGCCACATTCCAGGCACCAGTGGGGCAGCTCCCCCAGCTGGGGTCGGCACCCTCGCATATAAGGACTCACATGGTAGTCCACCAATAGGATCTCCTCATTGGCAGCTCCGGAGCCCAGCAGAATGGGCTCAGGGCTGCTCGGTTTTCCTGCAACCTGGTGGAGTCCATTGGTGGCACCCTGTGCAGCGGAGGTGGCAACCTCCAGCCGGTTAAGGTGCATCTCCAGCCCATCTTCTTCCTCCTCCTCCTGCTTGATGATTTTCGGCTGCCAGCTCTCCTCTGGGGAAGGAAAAGCAGAAGGAAGTGAATCTCCTGTCCTTCTGAGAGTTGGTATGGGGCAGAGCCTGATGTTGTTACCTAGTTAGGTCATGAAACGTCTGCAAGGAAACCACCCAGCTCAGAGGGCACGGGGACCTCATCACCTCCTCCTCCTCCTACTTCCTTTCCTTCTCCTCTCCACACTCAACCCTCCCTTCTAGCACTGATGATGTTTCCTAGTTGGGTCATGAAATATATGCTAGAAAACAGCTCAGAGAGCACCAAGGATCCCCCAGTCCGTCCGTCCTTCCTTTTTTCTTTCCTTCCTTCTTTCTTCTTTCCTTTCCTTCCTTCCTTCCTTTCTTTCCTTCTTCCCTCCCTCCTCTTCCTTGTTCTGACAAGGCTTCCTGAGACAATCACACGCTTAGTCCCAAAAACCCTCTTTTTATTTCAATGGCTGTGAATTATATGCATTCACCGCCCGTAAGGAGTCCCAAACAGATTGTGAAAAGTCCAACAGAAATTCTGCCACAGTCCTTCGGGATAAGGCTGATCAGCACTCACCTTTATCTCCCTTGAAATGCTGCCAATGACTACATTGCCAATTAGCTGTACAAAGCCAAACGGAGCACAAAGTCAACACGGAGCTTCAGAGTTTAAATCGACCAGAACAAAGTTGCTTCCTGCAAAGGCTCATGTCCCTTTACTCCTCCTTTATGTCTTATGGGAGGGACCAATCACCTCCAAGCCTTACTCCCGAGTCGCCCCTTTTGTCTTAACATTTCTTGCCTTCTGGCAGCTCTGCACACTGGGAACAGTCTCTTCCTACCTACCTACTTTTCCTTCGTTCCTCCCTCCCTTCCTTCATTTGTCCTTCCTTTCTTCCTACTTTTCCTTCCTTCCTTCCTTCCTTCCCTCCCTCCCTCCCTACTTACTTTTCCTCCCTTCATTTGTCTTTCCTTTCTTCCTATCTACTTACTTTTCCTTCCCACCCTTCCGTTCCTCCCTCCCTGCAACCCCCTCTCCTTTCTAGCATGGATGATGTTTCCTAGTAGGGCCATGAAATGTCCACAAGAACACCCCCAAGCTCAGAGAGTGCCCATGGTTCAACCCCAAGCTCCCAACCCATTCTTCCCTCCAGATTACACCGTGTTTCTCCACCCAGCGCATATCTTTTTGATTGGTTGGTCTTGTAAAAAATTTTTGCGAAACAACAAAAAAGGAAGAAGACATTTGATGAGTCCAAACAGCTCAGAGACCCACCGACGTCTGGATAGCCGCAGTTCTCCACGTCCTGTTCCATCTCCTTCATCATCCTCACAGCCTCCTTGGAGGTATCGCCAAAATTAGCCAGGATGCCGGGAGTTCCTCTGAAACCGGTCGGATCTGCGAGGAACCGAAGGACACCCCTCAGTTTTGGACCTAAATATTGGCAGAAGGGACGAGTGTCTCTCTCTCTCTCTCTCGCCTTACAACTGCCATTGCGGCCCCACAATTTCCGGATGTTCGGTGAGGCTTGCGTCTCCTGAGTTTTGTCCCGTATTTACAACCACCATCGTTAAGCGAATCGCCGCCATTGTTTAGCGAGGAACGCGGCAGGGAAGCGAATCCAGCTTCCCCTTTGGCGTTGCTGTTCGGGAGGTCGCAAAAGGGGATCGCGTGACCCCCTCCCTGCTTGGACCGTCGTAAGTATGAGTCGGTTGCCGTCGAGCATCTGAAATTTTGAATCAGGGCTGGGAGGACGCCGCAACGGTCACAAGGGTGAAAAACAGTCGTAAGTCCCTTTTTTTTTTCAAGGCGGTTGGAACTTCGAATGGTCACTAAGCAAATCGTCGTAAGTCCTGGACTGCCCGTATATATGTATTGGTTTGTCTTGTTAAGGGATGCCCCGCCTCATTGAGGGACTCTGGGTGATGCACAAATAGGCATATTAAAAAAAAAATTATGCATGGTAGTCCTCAGCTTAAAAGAATTCGTTTAGTGGAGGTTCAAAGGTGGGGGGGGGGGGGGGAACCCAATAGGAAAAAGCTTGGAATTCTGGGAGTTGGAGTCCTCCCCTCTTAAAGGATGCCGGCTGGGGGATTTAAGTTAGCAGACATTATTGTTCCAGGAGACAAGACTTCATCCCACTGGATTGGCTGGGGACGATGGGCACTGTGTCTTGGCTCTCCCAGAAGTCCCTTCCGCTTCCAGAACAACAGAGTTGGGTCTGTTAGAGGTCATCCAGTCCACACCCCCTACTGAAGCAGGAGACCCTTCCAGAACAACAAGGTTGGAAGGGACCTCGGAGGTCATCCAGTCCACCCACCCTTCCCACCCACCCCCCCCACTCAAGCAGGCGACCCTCGAACCATTCCTGACATTTTGTCCTGCCAGACCTCCTCCCTTGTTGGAGCAATTCCTCCCCCCCTCCCCCGCCATCTTCCCAAGCCAGGCCGTTCCCCGTTTCCCCCTTCATGGGCCGGATGCCAGGACGGGGGAGGGCTTGGGAGTCAGATAACAGATAATCAGAGTTGGAAGGGACCTTGTAGGTCATCTAGTCCAACCCCACCCACCCCCGCCCAAGCGGGAGACCCTACACCATTTCTGTCGGGGTGGGAGGCAGGAAAGCCCTCTGCACATGCTCCCTCGCCCATCTCCAGCTATTCCCCAGGTGGATGCGGAGGGGCGACCTCACCTGAGCTTCGCCCCAAGTCTCTGTGGCTGGGGACGAGGGGTTTGGTGGTCGCTGGCCTGGTTCTTCTCTCCCCCCCCTCCCACCTCTCCAGCCGGTTGCTCAGGGCGACGGATGGGTCCCTTTGGAGGATGCAGGAGGGATGCAGGCGGAGGAAGGATGCTGGAGGAGGAAAAGAGACACCCCCCCTCCCCAAAATGCCCCCTTTGGCCTGGAAGAACAGGGCAGAGAGGCCAAAGGGAAGAGGCTCAGCCCCCGTCGCCCGGCCTGCCCCTCGAAGACCCTTCCCCTCCCCTCGCCCTGCCCAGCCTGTGCCTGGCTATATCCCCTTCACCGATTGGTGGCTGCCTGGTCTCAGGAGTCTCTCTCCCTGCCCGGGATTGGATGGGGTCCCCGCCCAGAGAGGCGGGCCAGGCAAACAATGGTTCATTCAGGAAGCCGGCAGTGCCTCCTCGGGTGGGTGGGTGGGAGGGAGGGGGGAGGGGGTGGAAAATGCTGACGGGGTCCCGTGGGCTGTTTTCCTGGCAATGGGGTGGGGCTGTTGGGGAGGCTGCAGAACCTCAGGATGCAAAGCAAAGATTTGAGATTTAAGTGGGGTGGGCTTCCACTCCCAGAACCCCCTCATGTTTTAAGGGGGGTGGGCTTCCACTCCCAGAACCCCCTCATGTTTTAAGGGGGGTGGGCTTCCACTCCCAGAACCC